GCTTAAAGTTAATTGCCACTTCATATAATAATTATATGAATATATTATATGAATTATAAACAATTACAATTAATAATTTGTACAATTTTGTCTCTAAAATTCTTTGACTGTAAACTGCTTTAATTTGGAGCAAGAGATACGGGGGAGTGGCTTCATTGCATCAGATATTTGTCACTTTGCTCATAGCTGATTGGTCAGGTTTGGGTTTGTGATCTCTAACCCAGAATAAAACCTGCTCCGGAGCAGGGTAGCTGACCGTGTAGTGCAAGTTACCATAGTGATTAAACCCGCTCAAAACCAACCCATCTTCTTGAGCCCGAAAACTCAAAGAGTTTGCTCAAACTAAACATGAACTTACCTGAGTAAAAACTGAAACTGGCTTTGTGCTACAGGCCACTGGACACCATTCAGACTCTTTGCAATGTTATGTGTGACGCGTTAATCCTAATCTCAGATATTATTTTGGATGGATGGTGTGCAAATCGAGATTTTGCAGCGCATACAAAATTGCCTAGTAAGATGGTAAACAAGCGTTCAGTTTTAACAGGTATCTTTCTTCTCCCTTCCATTATATTATCTTGTGTAACAAAAGCAGGCTCCTGATTTACATAGCATTTATCCGATGTTTTGTCTTCGGACCTCGGCAGTTCTTCTTTGCTGCACACACTGGCATGGAAACCGTTCACAGCAGAGCCAACATGGACAACATCGACAGCAGTAAAAAAATAAAAGGGCTACTGCTGTGTCACACTGCATGTGTGCCTGTGTTTGTATTTTAGTTTGCCTATCTATCTGTTTGCGCTTATTTGAATATCAGATAGCCCGAATGGAGGATATTTCCTTAAATCCTCCTTAACCTACATAATCTATGGTATATGCTCACTGCAGCATACTATGAATTTGTGGATAATTTGACTGTGCTTACTTTGAAATAGAGTCTACGGAAGCTTGTTTCCACCACAGATTAAAAAATAAATAAAATTAGGGTAATTCTGAGATGTAAATTCAGATTTGAGACAAAAAAGTCAAAATTGTGAGAAAAGTCACAATTGCATTCATTTATAATTTTTTTTTTTTTTAATTTCATGGTAGAAGCAGGCTTCCATAGGAGTCAGTGTGCACTAACTACACTTCTTGGACTTTGACTTAATAACTAGCTATTGTTGTTTTTAAACAAAGCCTGTATGCTGTCATATGTTGAGCCCTGTTCATCATTAGTTTGTTTGTTGGCTAAATAACTGAACATTCTAAAGTTTGTGTAACTACCTTAATATGATTTCATTAATACTGATTGCTGCTGTAGGTGGTTGGTGTCTGTGTTCTCTTCTTGTTTATTCTGTTCTGCTGTCACTACATACTTAACCAGCCTGCGCAGCCCAGCATTCAGGACACAGATTAGTAAGCTAATCAGGCATGGGCCTCAGAGCAAAGGTTCATGAGCTGGTAGAATTTTATGTCCTGTGCTGGAATGGAGAGAAAATGCTAGAGAAAGTGTTCAAAACCTCCCAGAACAGGCTCAGTTCATGCATTTTATGTCTAATCTCGAGAGGAACGGTTTCATGGTACTGTAACTATGCAAACAGGTCTATCTTTTGACCTAAGAAGTATAGACTAGTTGATGTTGACTTCGTTCAGAGCTTTGATTGTTTTTGCATCCCTTGGGCATATATGGGTCAAATGAAAAGCCTTTATTAGCGAGCTACATGAAGGCAAAATCAGTTGTTCACACAAACACGCCCCACGGGTGTCAGGTTAAAGTCACAATAGCCTGGTGTTTGTTTAGATGGTGCATATGTCGGATGATTTCAGTCACACTTGGCTGCCATTAATGACATTTACCAAAGATCAAACCATTAGCGTTTCAGTGATGTAGCAGATGTTTAGGATTGTTTTTTGCAGTTTTATAAGCCGCATAAAGCTTGGAGTTTGAAGTTTAAGCTTGCGATTTCAGATTTGCTGTCAGGTAATTTCTGGGTTAAACACCACTGGGTCTCCCTTACCATCAAGTAATGAGCAAAAGCCTTGACACACACACACACACACACACACATAGAGACTCATTTTTAGGCTTTACATTCTCTTAGGGATTGATAAACATGTATGCTGCTTTATAATAAGTCTCAGTGGAGAACTGATAACTCCAGGTTAGATTACTGTAGTAATGAGGTCTGTGTGTTTCTTTTCAGAGCTGGTAGAAACTGAGGTGATCCTTTCTGAATGAAATGTGAAACAATGATGACTTTTATTAAGATTTGTTCCTTTTTCTGGAATGGTGTAATTTCAGAAATTGCCCTCAGTATTCATTTGAGACCTTGGCCATTGTTTGTCTCAGAAAGGTGATATCTTGCATTTCTGGAAAGCGGGTAAAATGGGCCAGACAGAGTTTGGCCTGGGATAAATCAGGAGCAACATTGTCCTGGAATCTAGAGCAAGTGACGGCCGTTTCGGTTCCATCTCCTCAGGGATCACACACGGAAATAGATTGAATAATATCACAATAGCTCTGTTCTAACACGTAATGAGCTGCCTGAGTAGACAGCATCCTAAAGTCATGGAACCTCTTTAGGATGTATGTTTTCCAAAAGTGAATTTTTCATAAAATTCTCAGACAATTTAGCTTTTATTTTTTATTTTTATGAAGGAATTGGGATTTTATGTGGCATTCAAACGTGTATTATGAAACATTTTATTTTCTGTCATATATTTCTGAATTCCTAAATCATTAAAAAAAACATTTTTTTGAACGTTTTTTTTTTAATGCAAATTTGTTTGTTTATCCAATATGGTGGTAATCAATAAATGCATCAAACAAATTTTTTTTTTTAAATGTAATCAAATGGAAATGTTTCTTTTTTCTTTTTTTTTTCACAAACAGTGCTGCATTACAGAGGTTTACAGTTTAAATTAAAACATGAATGTAAAAAGATTGTGTGATTATTTCTTAAAATAATCATGTTTGAATAAATTGTATTATTGTTATTAGAACATTCTACTATATAGTATTGATATATTTCTGTTAATTAGGTAAACCTTTATTTTGATGGGTTGTAGTTAAGAGCCTTGAATGTCTGTGTGTATTTAACAGTAGTTTTTATCAAATGAAATGGTGAAATGTCGGTGAAGTGACTGTCAGAGCAGCTCTGGAGATGAAGCCCATGCCTTCATGTCCTCATCAGATGCATGCTTCAGTATGTGTAGTAGATGAAACTGATTCTTCATTCACTCTGAGACAGAGAACATAAAGACTTCTTATTTTAGTAGCAGTCTTTTAAATATTCAAAGACACTAGTCCATATAGCAATTTAATTATACAGCCCTACTTTTGATTTATTCATCTGTTTGATTAAGTTTTAGTTTTATGACTGGATTCCTTTTGCGTTGAAATCATAGGACCATTAGGTTTATTAGGTAGAAAAGGATGCTTTGTTTTTGGCATGAGTCATCAATGATTTTTGCTCAAATGTTCTTTTTGATTGTTTTTGTCCTTTATCTATTCTCTCCTCGTCTAGACACACCATCTGCCCATGGCTTGTTCATCCCCTCCTCCCCCACTGTGGAATTATGGGTAGCACTGTTTAAAGATCACAGTTTGTGGGAACTATAATACACACTAGCATGTGGGTGTTATGTACAGGTGCATCTCAATAAATTAGAATGTCGTGGAAAAGTTCATTTATTTCAGTAATTCAACTCAAATTGTGAAACTCGTGTATTAAATAAATTCAATGCACACAGACTGAAGTAGTTTAAGTCTTTGGTTCTTTTAATTGTGATGATTTTGGCTCACATTTAACAAAAACCCACCAATTCACTATCTCAACATGTGCATTGAATTTATTTAATACACGAGTTTCACAATTTGAGTTGAATTACTGAAATAAATGAACTTTTCCACGACATTCTAATTTATTGAGATGCACCTGTATAGGACGGCTATAGTTTTCCTTTTTTATGCTATTGAAGCTGCTTATAACATGTTTGAATTTTGAATGTTACAATTGCTACAGAAATGGCTTTGTACCTCATTTGTATTTAGGATATTATTCTGAAACAAGATACATAACCAAGTTAATTGAAGGATGTTGTGTCTGCAATTTCTGTATCGTAAGTTCGTATGAAAAAGCATGATGCACAACAAGATAACATATAACTATTATTGATTGATGCGTGTGATGACGCACACAGTGGGAGGTTGATTGGTTTTATAGAGGGGGAATCAATAACACAATTTAACCAGTTTGCTGATTCTGACGTGTTGCTGATCACAGGAAGCTTGCAGATGTAGAGACCTGACTATAGTAACACTACAAATACACTTTCTGTCTGTAGATGGTTAAACCTTCTCAAGCCATATACTTTATATGTTTACCCATGGATTCATAAGCCTATCTGGCACCTGTTTTCAAGGAAATGTTTACTGCCCAGGCTGAGGTCTGTCGGGTCATAAACCTTCTTACAGTCACTTCCTAAAAGAGTGTGAGAGGGTCTTTGAGTAAATCAACAGTATGTAGAGTGCACAACTTTGCTTTTTGACAATGCTTTGGTGCAGTATGCATTGTGATAATCGCTGTGCTAATAAAAATGACATTTCTATAAAAAAAAAATGAATTAACCAATTTCATTCAGTTTTCCAGTTTAGAAATGACAACATGAGACTAGTATGTGTGCAGTTCTTGGCACTTTGCCATTTTAGCATGTTTACTTAAAGTATTATAGTGTAAAAATGGTAAAATCATTCCTCATAATATATACATTATCCATATTCAATGTTTTATAAGTTGTATTATATTAATATTTATTATCATATATTATATATTTAATGTTTCATGTTTTATTTTAATATTTAGACCATCAATGCAATTGATAACGATAGTTATCAATAGTCTTGGGTGTTTCACTCACTGTGTATTTTCACTTTCTCTTTTTCTTCATTCTCGATATAGTGATGAATAAACAGCTTGGGTTTTCCCTCTTCTCTCTCCTCTGTCTTTGTCATTCAGGCTCTGACTACCTTCTCAGAGCAGATGAGAAGTCGTCATGGAGTCGACCGGACTCATCAGCCTCTGGACAGTACACCTACACCATTCCCAGCCCTACAGAGATACACATTGTTACCAGACCAGGTCAGACACACCACACGTACTGCTAGCTGTACATATATGCAGACATCTCCCAACTTTACTTTCAGAACTCATCCAGCATTTGTGTGCTTGTTTGCAGAGCCTCTCATGCTGAAGAATGACGAAAGGCAGAGACTCGCCCGTAAACGGAGGGAGGAGCTGGAGAAGCAGAATGGTATGACAAACATGCACACGTTGTCATTAAAGACAACATGAAAGTGCCTTTGCTACACAATTAACTTCTTTAATGTGACACATATTTCAGAATCAAGCAGTATATTTAGTGGGAATTTCAGTACAATGAGACTTGATTTTGGTTTTGATTGTCACATTATTTTGGTTTTGATTGTAATTACCATGTCATATGCATTTTTGTCATTGAAAGAAGTGACACGTTGGGCAATTTCATATTTCTCCTTTTAACCTTTCAGCTGGTTTTTCTTAGTGGCACTACAACTAAACCAGGCAAAGTATGCACATTTGGTGTGTTTTTGAAGCCTACTTTGTTTTTAATCACTCTTGTGCTCCCTCAGAGAATGATGGGAAATGTAGTTTGGTCATGCGAGACCTCATAATGGGTCTATATGAGTAGTTCTTTTGTAGCTATTCTTCACCCACAAAATGTTAAAAACTAAACATTCACAGCTGTAACGTCACATTGACAGCTTGACATTTAGTTCTCACAAATAGCAATAATTAGCTTTTACACTTGATACACTTCCAGGCACGACTGAAATGGCATTCACGCATGTCATACTTTTGGTGGGACTAAAAGGCATCACATGAACAAAGGCAATTATTATGAAAGTACTTGAGGTCATATGCTCGGTCATGATGTCATGTTGCCTTGAAGAGTCGCAGTGGTTTACTATGAAAACACACAGATGCTGTAGAAATGACCTTTGATCAGAGACTCGCTCAGTCCTAATCAAAGTCTTAATGGGTAAAAAGTGTAGTCTAAAAGCAAAGTTAGATGTTCATGTATTGTTCATATAATTCAGTAAATCATGTGAATTTGTATGTCAAAACAAACCTTCTTCACCATGTAAAGGGTTACATTTCTTGCTGATTTTACCCATTTTGTTCTTTCTTGTGTCTGTCTGTTCTCTTCTGTCCGTAACTGCATGACTAACTGGATGGGGCAGGTTGCTGTGGCGAGGTGCAGTTGTTATGTAAACTCTTGGCGAGGTGGTTACCAGGACACCCAGTTTTATGTAAGGGGTTAGAGGCCAGGACAGAGAGGCCAGAGAGAGATTGGTGGATTAATTATGCTTACTTTACTGAAGTGCTTGGATGATAATGAAATGTATAATCAACAATGTCAATTATTAACATCTGGCCTTCTTCATATTTGATCATTTTCCCCTGAGGTTCACTTTCACATGACCATTTTCCACCTTTTCTCTGAGCTGTAGCATTAAACAGATTTTTTTTTTGTTATAATCAGCTTATTTTTGTGAATTGAGTAACAATTTTTGAGGATTGTGGAGTCTAATATAGTTGTGCTGCCCCATCCTTCAATAACAGCCTTTTTCCAACAATTGAAAAACAAAGTTTTTAAGAGAAAAGTTAAAAAGCCTTGAACTTAAATGTTTATTGGTCTTATGAACAAATAGATAGAACAATGGATGGGTAGATTGATAGGTAGAATGATTTCCAGAATTCCTTCCAACAGAAAACTTGCACTAGAAAGAGCTGAAATTATAAACAAATCCCATTTTTCAGCAGGCATTTCTAAATTTATAGTTGCCATAGAGTTATAGGGCTACCAGGAAAAATCCTTTTCTTGATTAAGGAAATTAATTTGTGAAGATTTCAGATGACGCCAACATGTGCAAAGACTCTAGATGATGCCAACTTTGGATCGACATATAAAGCTGTCAAATATTTTTCTTATATTATAGCCTAATCATTACAAGAATAAGCTGTAATTTCTGCTGAACACATTCAAAGTGTTGCATAATGCGTTATCTTATAGTTGCATATTACACATGGAGGTAACCTTGATAAACTCAGGTTTGGCTGATGTTTCCTAATTGTAACATTGAAACACGATTCTTCTTTAAAAGTGCTTAAAAAAATGATGTATTGTGAAAAGCACTAAACAAATAAACTTGAACTGAATTGTGTATGTGCAGCTGTACGGGGTTCCAAGTGGTTGGAGAGAGAGGAAAGAGCCCGACAGTTTCATGAGAGACAGCTGGAGGAGCGCAGGAAAAAGCTGGAAGAGCAGCGAGTGAAGGAGGAGAGGAGACGCGTTGCTGTGGAGGAGAAACGACGGCAGAAACTAGAGGAGGAGAAGGTGGTTGAGAACCTGCATTACATTGTCATAACTGTGAATATATACAGAGACCATTTTTTATTATTGCAAAGGAAATACTAAAGGCGAACCATACATTTTGTAAAAAGTGGTGTGCGTTTGTTAGAGCAGTGGTTCCCAACAAGGAGACATGCAAAATGTGCAGTGTTGGGGTGCCTCCAGGACCAGGGTTGGGAACCACTGTGTTAGAGGGTGGACATACAGGATAAATTCTTGAAAAACAAAATAAAAAGGACATTTTTGACCAATTAAATGCTCTCCAGAATGAGAAAGTCTGTTTGTGTGTTCCAGGTCCGGTATGAGGCTGTTATCAGGAGGACCATGGAGAGGAGTCCGAGAGCCAGGCCCAAGTCAAACCGCTGGAGCTGGGGTGGAACGCTCTCCGCCAGCACCTCACACAACAACGGTAAACAAACACACATGTGCACAGAATGATCAATATGGTTATACTGTATAAAGAGATTCTGGAAAATGTAAAAATACTCACACATCAGATGATGTTGCTTGTTGTATAGAGGTGAGCTATAACATATTCCCGTTTTCATACTATCAACTTTTATCTGGATGACAATAAAATAGACACACACACACACACACACACACACACACACAAATCAAATACTGGGAATGTTTGAACCCAAGTAAGTTGCTTGCTGGTGCAAAACATTGTTACTGTAATACATTACTGTAATACATTCTAGGGCTGCACAATGTAGGCAAAAAAAATATTTTTTCCTGATTAAAATTTGCAGTTTCAATTTGAAACATGACATAATTATTATTACTGTTAAATAAGAAATGACTATTGTAATTTCTCTGTAATTTAAAAAATTATGTATTTAAGAAAAATAATAATAGAATAATAAGTTTATTTAACAGTGCAGATAGAATTGTAAAATGAAAATGAAAGTATCTTAGTAAAAATCTTAGTATAAATACTAAGATTTAAGTAATCTTAGTATAAATACTAAGATTTATGGCTGTCTTCATTTCTTTTCAAATGTAAAACAGTCAAACTTTTATTTAGTTGGAATAATCCAGGAAGCCCTTAAAACTTTTTGTATTGCGTTTTCAGTTGCTTTTCGATTAATTGCGCAACCCAAGTTACAAGCTCACTTTAGCCTGTTTTTCAGGATTTAAAGTCCTAATATTAGCACTTTTTAAAATGTTTAAATATAAATTCATATTGTTTGCAGTACAGCATATTTCTTTATGCTCTGCTCACATGTGTTGACTCAGAGCCATGAGCTCACCGCACACTCCCTTTGTTTCCTTTATTTACTGCTCCATCAATATCTTTCTTTCTCTTTCTCTCTGTATGGTTCTGTATCCATCCTTCTCTATTCTCTCTATCTTTATCTCTCAGGTTTTGATGATTCTGCTCTCTTTTCATTGGATCTAGCTGGGCTGGAGCACTATCATGGTGTTTACAGCTTGGCGTGTCAGCAGCAGTTTCGATCGAAATGTGAATATAATAATCAGTGTAGAGCAGCAGACTAGCAGCATTAGCTAAAGCTTGTAGCATCACCCATAAATGATTTAGATTTCTTTTCATTTCCTGTCAGCAGTTAGCATGGAACCAGAAACACAAACTGCTTAACCAGTAGTATGTAAGATGTGAATTTAGCTATTTTGTAGTTTCTGTTTCAAAGGGGCCATTTATCTTTTTGTCACTTTTTTTTTATTTATAGTCATTCAGCTTTTATTCATTCATTTAGGTTTTTCTTTTTTGCTATTACACTTTTAAGATGAATATATTATATGTATTGACCTGTAATGTTTGATGGTTAATATATAGATGCTAACTGTAGTAAAATAGTTTTGTAAATAAAAAAATTCAGTTTTTTTTGACTACTAAACTAATTTCAAGCATTAAAACTTAAGCCTTTAGATCACTTAAAAAAAAAATACTGACTAGTTTTGTACATCAATGTCTTTTTATTTTCCATCTTATTTTTTATAATATGACCCCTTTAAAGTTTGGTAATGTCGATATTGGTGATGTTAGATACTTTTTAAAGTGTTTAAAAGACATCACAGATGTCCTGCTAGTTTTAAAGTCGTCAATGTGTCTGTCCATTCTGGGACACACAGATGGAAGGCAGATTGTGAGCATTAAGCAGATGAGTGTGCCGTCATCCTCTGTAGTCTTTAGTATAGGTAGCTAAGCACTTTTCCTAACTTAAAAATTAGCATCCCTAAACTGCAGGTAAACACACAGTAGAAAAAGTCTTAGTAAAGCCTCTTATGCCCTCTTCCTCATTTTCTATCTCCCTTTAGTCCTTTTTTTTAGTGCATTTGTCTGTATTATGCCTTTAAGGTGTGCATCTGATGTTGTATCTTGCATCTGTGTGTTTGTAGATACTGACAGAAGGTCAGTCTCCACTATGAATCTGTCCAAACCCACAGATCCAGTCATTTCCAAACGCCTGTCATCTTCCTCAGCCACCTTGCTGAATTCACCAGATAGAGGTAAACACGCACACTATCTCTTTACGTTTTACACAATCAATCACATAGCCAAATTAGGTTTTTGTTTTCTTTTTGAATAGTTTACCAAGAATCACCATGTTCAATTGATGTTGTCTTTGTGTGTGTGTGTATTTGTGTGCTGTGTGATTGTGCTGTACCGTCTAAGCCTTACAGAAGCAGACATCTCTCTCGTCGTCTTGCTTGATTAAAAAAACACAATCTAAATCCCAAATCTCCAAAGAGAAGATACCTCAGGACAAACCAGCAGGTGGATTTCAGAAATCCAGGAATCTTTCTTGATGCTCTCCTACTGGGTTCAAACCTGTGCTGTCTGGGGCTCCAGACTACAAATAAAATAATCATAAATGAAAAAAAAAAAAAAACCCTGAATGAACAGTTCACAGAACAATCAATTACAAAACTTTTTTGTCAATATGTGACTTCAGTTACACATATATTACATTTCTTTAAAATGCATGCCTTTTGCTCCTTCACAGTACACAGTAACTGTTGGATGAGAAGTGACGTGTTCAAGTAAGAAGCTTTGCACTCAATGAAGTGCATATTCTGTTTCAATGTAGGCATTACCATTGCATCTACACAATGTGAGCATGACCAAGTGCTTCTAAAAAATAAGTCTGTAATCACACAATTCTGTAATTTGTAATTTTCAGTCTTGAGCCCTGGTTACACAGAACTCTGGAGTCATGTGATCTCTTCCAGTATTTACAAATATTGCATGTTAGTTTATACAAGTTAGTTTATAAAAGTTTTAAATGATTTATTCATTTGCAAACAATAATTTGGCTATAACAATAATGGGAAAAAGTTCTACTGTGTGTGCATGCTGCATGCTTGATTTGACTATATTGTTAACATGTTTTGATATTTAGTTCTTGCATGCATTTTTCCTTCAGCAGTTGGAAACCTTTTTTTAAAGACAACATGAAATCAAAATAGATTATTTTTTTAATGTCAAATTGTGCACAATTTATCAGTGCATCTTATTTTAAAGAAGCAAATTGTTGACATTGTTTTTCATCATAATGTAGTTACTGAAATTACTTTTTTGCTGAGTGACAGGGTATGTAGGGTGGACCAAATAATATTAATTTCATAAACTCACAAACTCACTTTTCATGGTCCAATCGAATCCTGATGGATAACATCAGGTCCTGCCCAAAAATATTCTCTCAATTAAAAATATCACACACATTAAATGGGTTGTGATTGTAGTTTCATGTTGTCTTTCCACAAGTGGTTAAGTTTATGGTAACAAACCCTGTTTTTATTTTATTTATTGGTCTAACTTAAAGAAATAGTTCTCCCAAAAATTAAAATTTGCTGAAAATGTGCTCACCCTCAGGCCATCCAAGTCATAAATGAGTTTGTTTCTTCATCAGATCAGATTTAGAGAAATTTAGCATTACATCCCTTGCTCACCAGTGGATCCTCTGCAGTGAATGGGTGCCGTCAGAATGAGAGTCCAAACAGCTGATAAAAACATCACAATAATCCACAAGTAATCCATACGACTCCAGTCCATCAATTAACATCTTGTGAAGTGAAAAGCTGCATGTTTGCAAGAAACAAATCCATAATTAAAACATTTTAGCTTAAAACCGTTGCTTCCAGCTAAAATAGTCCTCTGTTTCAATACAAAAAACTAATTTACTGTACATCTTGGATGGCCTAAGGTTAAGTAAATCTGCAGCAACTTTTCATTTTTGCATAAACTATTCCTTTAAATGGGTTGCAATTGCAGTTTCATGTTGTCTTTCTGCTAGTGGTTACGTTTAGGGTAAAAAAATCCTGTATTTCCTTTATTGGTCAGTCTCGCTTAACATAGAACTTTACATAAAACATGCATGATTCACTATCACCAGCAGATGCAAATAGGTAACCTATTCTGGGCATATGATACTATGAACACATGTGATGCATCTGTGTCAGTTGCTCTGCTGTTGCATGTGCAAACTACTTTTTAGCATTTTGTCCCTGGACAACCAAATATTTCCTTTCAATAACGATGGCAGTATATAAGAGAAAATGTGCATGTGTGTTGTCCAGGTATGCGTCGCATGCCTCTTACTGCATGGGAGAATACAGTGATCAGTCGACTACAGACACCAACACACTCCTACCTGGCCAGGAGTCGCAGCGCCATGTCTTTGTCTGGAGAAGCAGGTAATTGCTTAAATAAAGAAGGTAATTCTAACTTTTTATCTCATAATTCTCATAATTATGGGACAGAAAGTCAAAATTGGGAGATGTAAGCAATTCCTAGAAGAAAAATCTGCATTGTGAGAAAACTTGAGATAAATGTCAAATGTACTTTTTAAACTTTTTTTTTTAATTCCAAAACAAACATAATTGCGAGATGTAAAATCAGAATTCTAAGGAAAACAAGTCTAAATTGCAAGATATAAACTCACAATTAGTGGTTTTTAGCTTGTAATTGCAAGTTATCTTTTTAAATATTCAATTCCATGGTGGGGTTAAGCTTTCATACAGATAAGATGGGAAATTTGCTTTGTGCCTTTTTTTTGCCAGCCATTTTAATTTTTTTCAATTCAAATGTATAAAATAACGTGTTGGTGCTTCAAATACTTCTTAAGCTAAGCTGAGAAATCTTAAAGGTATTCTGCCACATTGAGACTGCAGTTTCAAAGTAGCTTTAACTCTGTTTGCAACTGATACTTATACAATAGCAGAACTTCAGGACATTTTATTGTGAACACACATGTATGTACAAAGAAAGAGAGCAGAGAAAGAAGGGAATGAGAGTACTGTAGAACAGTGAGGGCTGTTTCTGGAAAGTCCACCCTTTTTAGACAGACTTTTCTCTCAGTGACAGCCTTGCCCAGTTGCTGCCAACTTCATCTTAAACTGACGCATGTGTGCGCACAAATGGACCTGATGCTAAGCTAATCTCTCAGTGGCTTGTGTTTCTTGCTAATCATTTGGTGTTTTTTTCTGGTTGGGGATGCTGTTATCAACTGATTAAATTCTAACATGGGCAACAGCTTCATCTTTGACTCAGGAATTAAAGTGTCTGTGTTGTTCAGAATGAAATACTACCTCACTGTTTACTGCATACTGTGCCATACTATTTACTGCCTGCTGTTTTTATAATCATGCGTGAAACGCTTTGCAGTGTGAATACATATTTCAAACAATAAGTATGCAATGTTGTTAACCTCATTACATTTTATTTTTATTGTAGTAAGCCTAAATGATGTCCAGTTTTTGTCTCTGAATTAAAAAATGTATTTTGCATTTTTATTCCAATTTCAGTCAAATCAAATAATTAGTTAAAGGCATAGTAGAATCACATATTGTTTCTAGTTCATTTGTCAAGCCAAAAATATCTAGTGCATTGCATTATAGGATATAATATGCCACTCCGTGTGTTCTGGCTGTATAATTAATATTTTGGCAATTTCAGTTCCTTGCATGCAGTAAATGTACCCATTAAGCACAGTATACATCATGCATACTGCAAAAATAGTATGGTAGTATGCCATTCTGAACAGGTTTCAGATTGTCCTCCCTACAGTGATGGATGATGTTGCCTAATTTCTTCATAGAGCTTTGTAGATACTAATACACACTTTCTTTTTCTTCCCTTTCCACTATTTCATCACTCATTCACCCCTTTTTAACCCTTTTCTTTTGCACAACTGCCTCCCTCCCTGTCGCTGCTCTTGTCCATATTGAATCAATTTATTTATCCCATAATACTCCCTGGTCGGTTGGTTAAACTTGCCTGTGGTACAGTGACCCCCGTTTGTCCTCGCTCAGCCTCCTGTCATCCAATGAGCTCCATGTCCTTCAAGTCCATCCAGTCACGCAGTGCTGAGCGACCAATCAAAGCAGGCCTTAATCTTGAGAGACCAATCAGAGCAGGGTTCATCCCTCTGGACAGCAGCGCTCGCAGAAAGACCACCCAGAATTTGCCGGTGCGTAAACACACAAGATTAGTTATTGTTGTACAGTAATTGTGTTATTTGTTTGTGCTTGTGCAAGTGCCATATGCTTTAAAAGTCTTACTTGCTTATGTAAACCAATTGAAGTGTGTTGATCTTTGTATAATGTAGTATGGAAGTACGGTAGATGTCTCTCAAAGGATGTATTTTGTGTGTTTCATTGGGCAGATTGACAGGAAGGATAAGGACAATGTGAGAAAGTCATGGAGTAACCTGGCATATCCCACTACCAATCTGAGTCTGTTCACACCCAAGAGATCTCCTTCACCTGTCGGTCATCGCAGCAGGGTCACCAATCCATCCCCCAACAGGTATAAATGCCATTTTTAAGATGAAAACAAGATTGTAAAGAATAATATAATATATAAGTATAAAAGTATCAACAGTGCTTTTTTTAGACTGAAAATTTGTGTATATATTTTATAAACAGCCCACCAGGTTTAGTAAATTTAGAAACCAAAAATAAATTCACATTTACATAATCATTGATTTTCCTTTTCTGTTAGAACCAATCTTCAGTCAAGCAAGTCATTAATTCTGGAAATATATACACTACCGTTCAAAAGTTTGGGATCAGTAAGATTTTTAATGTTTTTTATTAAAGAAGTTTCGTATGCTCATCAAGGCTGTGTTTATTTGATCAAAAATACAGAAAAAAAGTAATATTGTGAAATATTATTACGATGGAAAATTTAATTTTTTTTTGTTTTAATATACATTAAAATCTAATTTATTCCTGTGATCAAAGCTGAATTTTCAGCATATGTCTGATTTATTATCAATGTTGGAAACTGTTGTGCTGCTTAATGTTTTTTTTTTTGGAACCTGTGATACTTTTTTTCAGGATTCTTTGATGAATAAAAAGTTAAAAAGAACAGCATATATTTAAAATAGAAATCTTTTCTAACAATATACACTACCGTTAAAAAGTTTGGGGTCAGTAAATTTTTATTCTTTCTTTTTTTTAAAGAAATTAATACCTTTATTCAGCAAGGATGTGTTAAATTGCTAAAAAGTGATAGCAAAGACTTACATTGTTATAAAAGATTTCAATTTTGAATAAATGCTGTTCTTTTTAACTTTTTATTCATCAAAGAATCCTGAAAAAGTATCGCAGTTTCCAAAAAAATATTTGGCAGCACAATTGTGGCCAATATTGATAATTCTAATACTAAATCAGCATATTAGAATGATTTCTTAAGGATCATGTGACACTTTATACTGGAGTAATGGCTGATGGAAATTCAGCTTTGCATCACAGAAATAAATTCTATTTTAAAGTATATTAAAATAGAAAACATTATTTTATATTGTAATACCATTTCACAATATTACTGTTTTTTTTTCTGTATTTTTGATCAAATAAATGCAGCCTTGATGAGCATAAGAGACTTCTTTAAAAAACATTGCAAGTCTTACTGATCCCAAACTTTAGAACAGTAGTGTATATATAAATAAAAATAAACTTTTTTTTTGTAAATTTATTTATCAATCATTTTATGATGTTAGAATTCCTCTTACAGGATTTGCGAGAAATTAATTTCTTAAATATATTTGCTAAAACTTAGACTAAAATATATAACAATAAAATAGTGTCTATATAATAAAACCTGCACTAAAATAGAAGTTTAAGAACTACTTTTCGCTCACTGATTGATTTGTTGTTGTTTTCTGTTCGTCAGGGGCTCTACTACTAAACCCCCTCAGAAGACACCTAACCCCAAAAAGTCCAGGTCTCCACCTCCTCCAGCATCAATTCGTCTGTCTCCTAGTAACCCGTCCTTATCACCAGGCAATCTCAGGCCTAACAGAGTGACATCAGAGAGCCCGAGAGCAACTCCAGAAGGAGAGGGGGCCAAAAAAGAGGATGTAGAACCTCCCAAAATTGAACCAGAGTCTCCTGCAACTAAACCGGAGCCTTCTGCTGGTCTGTAATGCCATACAACCATTAGTGAACCATCAAGTTCAATTAAATTTGCATCATTTATTCTACTCCTGTACCTTTTTCTGGTTTTGTAGAAGGTTCTGGAAGTCCTCCAACAACACGGCCCTCTGCAGGCACAACAGATCCTGAGGAGGCATCACGTCTGCTGGCTGAGAAACGACGGCAGGCCAGAGAACAAAGAGAAAGAGAAGAGGAGGAGAAGAGACAGCAGGAAGAGGCTGAAAGGTGTGTGTGTAAGACACAGCCAAACCAAAGCAACAAACACGCATTTATTTTGATAGAAATTTTGAAATCATTATGTGCCTGTGTGTATGCAGGCGCAGCAGGGAGGAGATGGCCCGCAGGAAGGCAGAGGAGCGGGTGAAGAGAGAGGAGGAGGCACAGCGGCAGGCAGAAGAGAAGAAGAGACGAGAGGAGGAGGCGAAGCGTTTAGAAGAGGAGAAAGCACAGAGGGAGAGAGAGGAAGCTGAACGCCTGCAGAAACAGGTGTACACAACATTCTCATTCATTAATCACTCCAGACTGATCAATAAACACTCAGCACTCACTGCGTGCTTCAGTAAGATAACTAGTGAACATTAGGGCTGTAAATAGATTATAAAAATCGTGATTAATCTCATGACATTTTGGTAGATAATTCTTGAATTTAAGGAGAATTTATTTATATATATACTATCGTTCAAAAGTTTGGATTTTTTTAAAGTAATAGTTTTATTTAGCAAGGATGCAATAAATTGATTTATAACGATATAATTTAGAATATTACAAAAGATTTATATTGCAAATAATGCTGTTACATTTTTGCATTTTAGCAGACACTTTTATCAAAAGTTACTTAAAGTTCTTTTGGACTGTTGTTTTGAATTTTCTATTTATCAAAGAATCCTGAATAAAAATGTATCATGGTTTCCACAAAAAATAAAGCTGCGCAACTGTTTTTAACATTGATGATAATGAGACATGTTTCTTGAGCCCTCTGGCGTCCAGTATGAATGAAACAGACATTAAATGTGTTTATAGTGCTCAATAATGGCCAATCCATCCTATTTTGGGTAATTTATTTATTTATTATTATTTATTTTTAAGTATCGGTTCAGGTACCGTTTAGGCACCGGTACCGTTTTAAAAGTATAGATTTGGCACCGGTATCATAAAAAACCCAAACGATACCCAACCCTAATCTCAGGAGTAAATTGCAGGAATAAATATTCTTAAATAGAAAACAGTTATTTTGAATTGTAATAATATTATACAATATTTTTGTATTTACTGTATTTTTTGTCAAATCAATGCAGCCATGATGAGCAGAAGAGGCTTATAAAACATTAAACAATCTTATCAACCCCAAACATTTGAATGGTAGTGTGTATATTTATGTAATTTGCTAATGTCTTACTATAAAATACATATATAATGCATATTATATGCATAATATATGCATTCATTGTGTACTGTAGGGCATAGATTAAGGCTTATGGTTAATGATATAGAAATACAACAAACAATATGCTGCAATATTTTCTAAAGCCACTTTTTATAATATGTGTGCTGGCTAGCATTAAACATGTAATTAATCTCAGTAACATGTTAGGTTTGACAACCCTAAAGTAAATGCATGCTGATTTTATACATTTTTATATGTAAACGTTTTCTAAATGTGTTTTTTGTGGCTCTGTATGTTTAGAAAGAGGAAGAGGAGGCTCGCCAGAGAGAAGAGGCAGAGCGTTTGCGTCTGGAGAGAGAGAAACACTTCCAGAAAGAGGAGGCTGAGAGAATGGAGAGGAAGAAGGTAAGCTAATTTCATTTTGAGTGCTTTTTAAGGTAATGGCAGGGTTTAAATGTTATCTGAATCTTGTCTGTCACAGCGCCTTGAGGAAATTATGAAACGCACACGCCGATCTGATCAGGTAAGATGTAATCTCTGCGAGCAATTGCCTTCCTCTTTTTAGCATTGTTACCGCTAATTTGAAGTGCTGGCTCTTCACTAACACACTTTACTTTTTTCCATTTATTTACATTTTGAAGAAAACCACCCCACAGAGCAATGGCGATGTCAGCCAGCAGAGCGGACAGAATTCAGGTGATTTGTGATTTTTTACGTTTACATGTGCACCAGTGTTTCCTTACTCTGACATGACATTTCCAATTTATGATGCCTGTTGTGAATCTGACATCTCTAACCGTCC